AAATGAACACTCAACACACAAAATACAAAATGAATTCAAAACTCAAAATTGAAATACAAAGAGAACGGTCCCTAAGGTTTTATGTGCCCTTTGTGTATTAAAAAATAGGTAAGAAGGCGTAAAAACCTTAACATTGACTTGAATGGCTTTATCAAAAAGGGAAAACAAATTGTTAAACAATAAAATGTCTTAAAATCATGAAGGCTTCCTCCCACGCATTTCACTTGTTTGAAAGACATTACTTTAGATCATTATATTTATGGCCCTGGTCTGGGCGTCCTAACATGTAGAATTCATTTTCCTATCAAATCTCGTGGTCCACCATTTCTGCAAGGGAGTTAAATTTCGTATTTTGTTGTCTATGTGAGTTCCGTTTATACCCACATTTTTTGCATGTACTGTACACATTTTTTTGGAGAGAAAAGGGCAGAATAGGGAAAGTGAAATTAAAAGAATAAATTGTACAGTAAAATGTCTTTTTTTTGTTAGATGAAATGAATAAAGAAGTGGCCTTTTGAAGGAGCGATGATCTGATTTCTTCTAAAAAAAAATGGAAAACAAATAAGCGCATAATGTTCCCACCTTTTAAGTTCTCTATTAAAATTATAGACCTATGTATTTATGTATATATTTGCTTGAAAAGCGTGACTTTTATATCGTTAGATAAACCATAATCTGAAACTAAGTATTTGTTTATGAGATTTTTATTTTTATTTTTAAATTGTTCTCTCTCAAAATCAATTTCTTTCTACTACATATTCTAAGAGCCGTAATTTTTTTCCTATATTTTAACCACACAATTTTCAAAAAAATCATTTTCACTTTGAAAAACTCTTCCAAGCAAATGCTAAATGAAATCGTTAAAATAATATTACATAATCAATCATTCTATTAAGAATATTTAGTTGACTTTTTCTATCCCGTTTAGTTGATTTAGGATACAACTCTGTATATTCCAGGCTCAAATGTCTGAGAGAATTTAAGTATTACATTAGTGCAAGTAGGAGCGTGTGGAAAGAAAAGAGAAAAAGAAAGAAGAACTTCAACCTGACTAGAGTTGTATAAAATTAAAGTCTTATTAGAGAATTTAGAAACGGCTTAATTTATAGATAGATAGAAATGAGTGAATAAGTGGATAGTACTTGTGTGTCCATTAAAATGTAGGTTGCCAATGAAATTTGACCAACTATAAATAATTTGATGAATTGAACAAATCATGTCGATTGTCTTACTTTAACCTGTTTAGTACAACATAATGAGTATAACATAAGTCGGGAATATAGAAAATGATGTTGACGATAAATTTTGACAAATATCATGTAAATGAATCTCGTGATTCAGTTATTATAATACGCTTCACGTGTCATGAGATATAGAGCGTTCTAATCGAGGAGACATACCTCTCGGATTTATTATATTAAGGCCAATGCACCAGCTAGCTAGTGTGCTGGTGAACATGTTGTGCTGTAAGCTAAGTTATTAACCTCGAAGATGGCAAATTCTCTTTTGATGCGTTCTTCAGAAAATTCGATTCACGCAGATTCTTCCCCCAACTAAGGAAGAGATCCTAGCAAAATTGACACATGAAATTGGCACAATTTTGCAAAGAAATCAATTTATTCATGGTAAACCCAAATCCCTCGATGATGTATTTTACCTAATTTTTTTGGTTGATAGAGGGATTTCATTTGTTGGTATTTTGGAGGATTAAAAGCATGATTGTAATCTATTTCTTCAAGTATTTCATTTGAAATGTATATTAATCTATATTTGACCAAAGGAATTGCTAATTAGAAACACATTACGCAATGCACGTGCTCTCCATCTCTGTCTCTATATATATGGTAACCGACTCTAGTATGTTAAGCGTATTTCTGCATCTTTTATACATTATATTTTATCATAAGCACAAATCTTTGTCATGTAACGTCACGAGTCAAAGCTCTTAAAAGACTTACGGATTCAAGTAAATCCCATATTTGATTTGGAAAAGACAATCCCCAGTGTTCTCTTGTTGTGCTCGTGAAAACTTTTAAAGTACGAAAGTGATTCTAGGTGCTTCTTCTCAATCTTATCGTTGCTTTCAAATCATCATGTATAAGGTATAAAACTTTAAAGCCAACTTCAATTTCTCATCTAATGCTTTTAAGTTTTAGATTTATCCAACTATATCTTTCATTAATGTAACCTAATTTTCAAATGACTTTCTCATAGGTACCCCAATTTGATTTGGGAACGAAGATCCCCAATATCTCTAATTGAGCTCACGAGGGTTTTTCACGATATGGAGATGATTCGAGGTACATCTTGTTAATATTATCGTTGCTATCAAATCATCACAAGTGCATAGCTTTTCATTACAATTGAAATGTGTTGACCTCAGAAAATGAACTCAACATATGTTGAGCCCACTCGTGCACACGTACGCCATATTCAGCACGTTAAGACATATCTATGGTCAAGATTGCTCCAAAAATTGGACGTTGGAGAAGCTCAACGACACGAGACGTTTCCGTTCGGATTCCGGCAGGATTTGCAGAACAAGATTGTATAATGAACAATCGATAAGAACAAGATTTGTAGTTGTAATAAACTTCATCAGAAAATGAAAATAGATTACTTTGAGTATTTAGAATTTCATTAGTCTTCAATTGTTACATGATGTGGGTATTTATAGTGTTACAAATGGAATGGTGACTCTTGGATCAATCTACACGTGGCCTCATCTCTTCGGTCAAAGCATCAAATTCTAACCATCAAGTTGACCTTCTTAACTTTTGAAAGTATTTAATGTTCTTACATTGACGAGACTTGACACATACATTTTTTATAAAAATCACATCAACCATTCAAATAAAGATCTTCATCATGAGCTAATCCCTGCACATGAGCCATCGTGAGTTGAGAGGCCTCGAAAAGGGGAAGTGCCTAAAGAGTGATTGGGCTTTTGCTGACATTAGAGCCTCGGATATGGGGCCTTGGCTCCGCAACTTAACTTTGATGGCCATGTGACAGTCTCCAGTGACAAGTCATAACAAAATGTAATGCAAAAATTTAGAAAATGTGGTAGGATAATTCTCACCCAGAAAACAATAGGGCTAAAATAGTGATTTACTCTTCAGCAAACCCCAATAGTACTTCAGGTGGTGAAATCCGACGCAAGAATTAGGTTTTGAATCTGGCCGTCCATTCAATTTCTTAATCAACGGCTGAAATCCACGATCCGCGTCCTTCCATCGTATTGGTCCATATTCAGACCTCCAACACTATATAAACGACCGTAACCTTCACTTATTCATAATAGCTTTTCTGTGTTTTCTATAGTCGGGTTTTTATCTGTTTTCATTGTCAATTTCTGTCGCAATTCAAATGGCCGGAAGGGGCAAGACACTCGGATCTGGGGCAGCGAAGAAGGCCCAATCAAGGAGTAGCAAGGCGGGGCTCCAGTTTCCCGTGGGTCGTATTGCCCGTTTTCTCAAGGCTGGAAAGTATGCAGAACGTGTCGGTGCCGGAGCTCCTGTGTACCTCGCCGCCGTTCTTGAATACCTTGCTGCAGAGGTAATAGAATATTAATGTCAATTTGCTTTTATTTAAAAGATCGAGATTTTAGGGTTTACAAATCAAGGGTTTCAAAATTTTTCCTAAACTGCCGACGAACTTTGAATTTGTTTCTGACTTTTCCCACAAAAAATAAGTCTGTTTTTGAAATTTCTGGACATGGAATGGTTCTGATTCTTTCTAATTATAGGCATTTTCATTATCAACTAATCAAATTCTGACGTTCTAATTTCCTTTTAAATCGTTTTCTATTGGAATCCCCAATTATATGGATTTTGAATTTTTTTTTCCTGTTTTGCAATGTCTTCCATATGCTCTGAAGTTGAAATAAGTTGGATTCCCCAATTTCTTGTATTTGAAAGTATTGTTTATAAATTTAATTTTTGGACTTTTGGCTTTGCAGGTGCTGGAATTGGCTGGAAATGCAGCAAGGGACAACAAGAAGACTAGGATAGTTCCAAGGCACATTCAATTGGCTGTGAGGAATGATGAGGAACTGAGCAAGCTTCTTGGGGATGTGACAATTGCAAATGGTGGTGTGATGCCAAACATTCACAACCTTTTGCTGCCGAAGAAGGCTGGTGGTTCATCAAAGCCATCTGCAGATGAAGATTAGATGAAGGGAAAGACGAGAAACAAAAGACAAAAAAACTTCATATGCAACCTGGCTTTTTGAGAGCTAGATGTTAGGTCAAGCAAGCTTTAGTTGAATTAGTATTTTGTTTATGTTGTGCTTATTTCAATTTTAATTTTTTTGTTGGAGTTGTTAGTTGGACTATGCTAGATATGTGAATATAAATGAACAAGTGAATTCCTGTTCTGCTTAATTGATGAAGAGCTAAATTTCTAGAGATATTGAGGTAACAATTCCTTCTTTCAGTATTTTCCAAGTCCTCAATGCAATAATCGTTTCAGTGAATCTGAGTTATGCTCTGATAATTGAAGTTAATGGTCCTAATTGTAGTATGCATGAGGAATATCTGGTGCATTGCAATTGGTGCTTATTATTTTGCAATAGGATGGGTACTGATTTTGTAAGCATCAGCTCAATCAATCATGCTCATAATACCCTAATCTCTTTATTTTGCTTACATTTGAGTTCTTGTGAATAGGTAGGTGTTAACCACGGAGGGCTAGAACATTAATCCTTAAATTGAATATTGAAGGACCTGGCTAGTCCAATATACTTAACAATTGGATTGTGTTCGTTGAATGATTGCCTGCACCAGAAATTCCTATGCATCTTTGTGTTTGGTTTCAACTTGTTCTGTAATTATATATTATATTGTTCTGCTGATTCCGAGTTTTTGGATTTGATATTCGAACTGGTTTTACTTGTAGTTTAAAGTTGGTCTACTGGGTTGGCTCACACTAGTACTCAAATAGATGAAAAAATGTTGGCTTGTTGGACATTGTTGTTTATGAAAGTAGGGTACAGACAAATGTTTGAATATGTAAGAAGATTTTATCAATGTTTGTTATTGTTGCATGTTTTGATATTTCACGTGCCTGCTACTTGTGTGTGTGAGTATACAGAGGCAAGCTTTACCTTAGTGACTCAAGGACGGAGCCCAATGTGGTGCCCACACCGAAATTTTGGGACCAACCCCATGGCCCAGAATTTTTTTTTAGTAATATATGCTGACTTCCAACCCAATGGTGAAACCCAAAACCATTACCAATAGGGAAAATTACCTGAAAACTTGTAATTAAAAGTCAATTATCATAAATAAGGGAGAGTTAATTTAAAATTCATATATTAGGTGATAATTACATTTTAATAATTATAATTAATAAAAATTTAAATTAAACATAATATACAATATTCACCCACCCCTAATTCATTCCCAAATCATTTTTGTTCTCTCTCCACCTCTCTACCTACCACACACATACCCACCACTGTCGTCTCTGCTCGCAGCGTCCTTCTCCCTTTACCCTCCTTCTCCTGCTCTTCCGGCGGCTCCTCTCCCTATCTTCAGACGGCTCATTTCCAGCGTCACTACTCTTATAACGCACCGGCAGTCCTCTAACGTGCACCGTGAGTCCCCAATAGTTTTAAAAACGTTGAGCAATTCCTCTGCCGCTATCTTCCTGTCACGATCGGAAACAAAGAAGTCCAATCTCCCTTAACAAAGTTTTCAGCTCCTCTTTCTTTACTTTCCCAGTCCCTTCCATGTCTATCATTTCAAACGCTTGAGGCCATATTGGAAGGAAGACGGAACGGTCTCGGATCTGGAAACGGGCCGTGATTTCTTGGACTTGAAAAGCTTGTTGGGAACGATTTTGATGAACGAAAGGTGAGAGAGAGAATGGAGAATGGAGTTTTGTGAGAAATAGAGAGGAAGAATATGGGGTTGAATTGAGGGAGATTGTGGTGAGCCATAGTGAGCTTCTTCTTCATTGAGGCTTCGAATAATATCTTAGGATTGATTGCTGCAAACTTCAATGCAATTAAACTTTCTTTCATCTATTTTTTGTCAAATTATTCATTTTTAAATTTACCACTTGGACAGTATTATTACCACGGTGAGGTGCTCGAGCAGACTCAGGAACCAGGTCATTTATTGCATCTTTTGTTGGTATTTTAATTTTATTTTATGTGGGATTTTATTGTTTTCAGATGTTGCTCTTTTTTCTGCAATAGGGTATGGTGATGGTTGTGGGTGTAAGGATGACTAGATTGATGCGGTGGTGGTTGCGTAGTAGGCGTCGCTGCAGAGTAAGAAGGCTGCAACCAGAGTTAGTGGTGTCGGCGAACCTTTTCTGATCTATGACTAGATCGCGATTTGATTACCGGGTAGTTCGTTGTGACTATTTGTGATCGATTGTGCCCTTTTGTGATCGATTGTGACTGGTGAATTGTGACTCGTTGTGATCGATTGTGCCCTTTTGTGACCGATTGTGACTAGTGGTGACCAATTGTGACAAAAAAAATTCTAGAAAAATTTGGAAGTTGACCGCAGGAACGGGAGTCGGGGTGATCGTCGGAATAGTCGTCAGAGTGATCGTCGGAGAGTCACCAGAACGATCGTCGGAGTAATAGTCAGAACAGTCGCCGGAGCGTGGCCGGACCATCGCCGGAGCGGTGCCGGAGATAAAGGGAAGGTGGTGTAGTGAGGTGTCATGGGGTGTAAATAATTAATATATATTATATTATAATTTAATATTTAATAAATTTATTTACCACATGATTTTTGAAATAATTAGACAAATTTGTTAATTTTGAAAAGTATTTTTTATATGTAGGTTTTGTGTATTGTTCCCTTACCAATGCCCACCGCCCTAATGTAAACAACCCAAGACTTAGACCAATACCCAACCCAATCCAAAAAATTAAAAACAAAACATCAGCCTCCATTTCAATTCATTATCCTCCAGGCTTGACCTCCGCCTCTCACCTCTGCGTCTTCTCCAACTAGTCTTGGGTTGCAGCTCGGTGCCGATGATTCCACTTCTTCATCCTTCGACAAGAAAGTGATGAATGCGAAAGGACAATAATATATCTTGGTAGGGTTCAATTTAATGATTTTGTGTCCAAAAGTCTGTTGTCACCTCATAAGTGATGTCAGTTTGCACAGGAAAATTGGTTCAAAGGATTAAAAATTGTAAAAGGAAATTTAGCATAGCTAATTACAATATAAAAAATAAAACTACTGACATTGCCATCGGTTCTATTAGTCAATAGAAAATGATGTGCTCCATTAATTTTGGTTCACAAGACTCCAAAACATAAGAAAATTTAGTCAAGAACCTAGAGAATTAAACCAATGAAGAAAAAAGGCTATTGATACCATCTATTCAATTAGATCGAGCAAAATGTGATAAGAAGAATAAAAAAGAGACACTGGATGTGTTCATTATAATAAGTCGTAATTTTGACCTAATTTTTATCTCTCACAATTATTCAGTAACTTACTCCCAACAACAAATTGAAATTTTATTTTTCCTTTCTTATTAATGTCAACTTAATTTCTTTAATCTCTTGCTTATAAACATATAAACTATGCATTTTTACAAATGACGCAAGAAATATTCCTCTTCAATTCACCTCATCTGCAAATAGAGTTCCTAAAAAAGGTGTTCGTGTGATACCAGTTTTACAATCACCTAAATACAAGTCTCTTGAAACCAACTCGCAAGGAGAAAATCCAATGTACTTCTAAGCTCACAAGGCAGGTTTCCTATCAGTAATTAAGGACAAAACGTATGCAGGCAATCCTGCATTATCCAATCACTCAAATATCACTGTAATTGTCACATTTCAAATTAATTGAAAACGGTAAAGAACTTGAGGTTTGGGGTGGGAGTTCATCTACATCTTTATTTCTTTCAATGTATTATTTATTATCATTTTTTGGCAAAGATTTACCATAGAAACTTAATGCCTTGCACAAAAGTTCAAACCTTAAAATAGCATTTCGTAGAATTGTAAGGGAAACTGCTAATCCATGCTTCAAGAACGAAACTTCTCCAGTAAACTTCCAAATAAAAAGCTCTTCTTCGGCCATCCACTCGATTCAAGGGATTTCGTATTTGTTGGGACTTTCTTCACATTAAGCATCATATTGTTTCCAATTTCTTGGCGTAGTCCTTCGATAGTCTTCATATCTACAGGATTCCCAGCAGCATCGCTCACGTAGAACACATGTATCGCTTGATCCCCAACAGTTGTAACACCAGCTCTCATCACTGACAACCCATTTTCTCGAAGAACTCTTGTTACATCAGAAAGCAGCCCTACTCGATCCTTTGCACATAGCTCCAAGCTCAGACCCTGCATGACTTTCATAAGTTGTAATGTGTGTCCATTACATATTTCATTTGACAAAATAGAGTTGAAAATCCCAACAGAGAATAAAANAAAAAAAAAAAAAAAAATGTATCAACTATTGAACAAATGCCTCTGAAAGTTGAATGATTCAAGAAGGGAAAATATTTTATATGCATAAACTTAAACTAGTGTAAAAATCAGTACCATCTCCTGATTTATCTCTCGTGTCCATTAGATAAGCCAGTAAAGGTTCTTGTGCCTTTCCACTCGCTTCTTTCTACACTTGCTGCTAGGGGTTGGCATGGATTGGATTGAGTCGGTTTTTGCTCCAATCAAAACCCAACCCAACATGATCAGTTTGATCAAAATTTAACCCAACTCAATCCGTGTAAATGTTGAAACCCAACCCAACCCAACACAATCAAGTATCTGTTGGTGGGTTGAATTGGGTGGGTCGGTTTGGGACGACTTGTCAACAAAAATTAAAGTCGTCCAATTTTCTATTATATTAAATTCGAATATGCAAAATTAAATAGTAAGTAAATAAATAAATAAAATTATCTATTATCTAATTCAATTCTCATTACCCGAGCTTACAAAGAACAAAGTGCATTTAACATAATATGAAAAACTTATATTATATTTCTTGTAGGAAGAACGGTAAGCTCCTCCTCTAAAATAGACCAAGGTAATTACAGTTACACTATCTACTCATACTTTTTAGGTTTCTTTTACTTTTTTAGGCATTTTATTTTTATTTTTTTTAGCGACGGGTTGGGTTGGGCGAGTTTATTCGATTTTCTTGAGTTAACCCATAACCCGACCAAACCCAACCCGTCTATACGTCCAACTCACCAAACCCGTGTAAAAACAACAAAAAAACCAACCTAACCCGATCGGGTTGGTTCGGTTTGGACGATTTGAGCGGGTTCGATCGGGTTTTGTCCATCCCTACCTGCTGCAATATACTTGTCTGGAGCATCCTTTTGCAATGTAATTTGATGAAAAAGCATGCAATTCTGCTTGAAAAACAAGCTCAATGACAGGTTTTGTGACACACATACGCTTGAAAAATTTCCATTTGCAGTTAACCTACTTCATTGGGAGAGTTCTATCAGGTTGATTGAAGTCCATTCTCGTCATGATCGTTCCATGCCCTACTGTAGTGCTCGGAGAACCAGCCTTGCTTAGCTTATACAAAAAGTTGCCAATAAAAAACTGTCAAATCGGTCTATCAAAAAATGGCCAGTCATTGAGCCTATTCAAGCAGCATTATTCAAAAGCATGGCATTGTAGTTCTACACCATTGTTTTGCTTATTGTGTACTTCATTATCAAATTTGGGGAAGGATTTGTATTCCCATGCTTGTTGATCGGCCCCATTTCTCTATTTTCAGGCTTTGTATCGAAACCTGAGCTTGACCTTCCATTTTCCCTGACATTTGTGAGATCACTTGCACGTCTATAACCTTGAGACTTAAATCATTAGTTGGCCTAAAGGTGGCCAAGTTAGCTCGATTTGTTACACGGACATTTATATGGTTATAGACATTTGAACTGTTGTATTCACTTTATTTCATGTCTTAAGATCAACTTGAAAATCGTATCAGTTCAAAAGTAATTTTACACATTTTAACTTTACGATTGAATTTAGTAGAAACTTAATAAGCTAATTGATGCATGGCATTATAAGGATTGTAAAGAAATGTATATGTGTATTCTATACAAATACAGTAATTAGTTAATCATGAAATGGGTGGTTTGGATAATTGAGGGTTCTTTTTCCTTCACAAGCTTAATTGGAAGGTGAAAATTGCAATGTGTAATGTCTACTCTGTATTGACCTCTCACATCAAATTTCAAAAGCTACATTTAGATGAAATAAATTTGTAAGTTATTATGTAAATTAGGTGCAAGCAACGTGCAATACACGTTTGCTTAGTTTATATTTAATATTTTTGTTTAATAATTAATTTGTTATTAATAAAGATGTAATTTTTTTGGTTAATTAAGGGCGTGTCTGGGCGCCCTGTAACGAG